TGGCAGCCTGACTTCTTACTTATTTTACAGTAAATGACATAGACACAAATCCATATACAAAGAAGAATCCCACTGGAAAAGCCCACTGATATATATTTTTGGCCTGAGAGTGAAATTTTAGTGGTCCGTCCTTAGAAGCAGACATTTAGCATGACATGAACACCAACCTTCATGTCTGCAAATTTCAAACACGGTCTACTTTGCAAAAATCAACTCCACTGGATTAATTCTTAGTGTGGAAAAAATGTTTGAAAGTAAGTAGTCTAGAAATTATTAAAAAGGAACAAGAGCAGTAGTTTTGCTAATTAGAGCTAAAGCTTACTAAGGTAGAAGTTTGCATTTTTGCCTGCATACCAAAATACACTCATCAGCATTTATTTTTCTGCTCAGTCAGGTCTTCTGTGAGACTCAGCAGAAAAGAAAATTTATTGTGATCTCAATTTGTTATACTGTATCTCAACTACTAAAGAATACAAGTAGCACTTATTTTAAAAACTAAATAGACTTGTTTTCTAACCTCAAATTGGAATGACAATTTTCAATGTCAACTTCAAGATAGGGGATAAAGTAATTTTAATATATTTATTGTGATCCAATCTCAAAATATTTTATAAAATATTAAGCAAACACAAGGATAATAAAAGATATAATCTGTATTTCTTCCACATAGTTAAAGAAGCTATCCTGAATTTTCCTTTCCCTGGAAAATACTGAGGATTAATCTTGTATTTGCTATGTTAATGCTACTATAATATTCCTTGATCAAGTGACTTTAACAAAGAAAGAGAGTGTGTTCAGCACAGGACTACTAAACAAGAAATCTGAGTTTGCAGTCCTGACTCAAGCACTGATTATTCTTGGTGGACATGACAAAGCAACCCTTGGGACACAAGCACAATCCTAAAAAGAGATGCAATTTCAGAACAAGAGGTTGCATGTGTAGCTACACTGACTGGCACCAGAAGCAAGCAGCTCAGTGAAGAACAGTTCTGCTTGAATATTTGCCTTTTTTTTTTTTTTCGTGTTCTGCTCTTGTAGAGCAGAATATCATTTTGATTCTCAGAGAATTTACCCATTGCTGAGTTTCTAAAGGAATTTCCTCACCTCTTCCCATTTTGCATGCCTAATGTTCCGGGCCAGCAACATTATACACTAGAGTAAGATATGCTCTTTATGCTCTTTCACTAATGCAGACCACTAAAAGTAGCAGTCAATATGAAAATACATTTTAGTGTTTCACAGGAGATACCTGAGTCATTGCTCCAGGAGTACCAATAAGTAGCTTTACCATACTTCAGTGAGCTATTCACAGGTCAGCAAGAACATATTACACACTGCTGATTATATATTCAGACTATGTAACTCTCTTTCTTGTCCAAGTTACCAAGACATCTTCAGCCAAATGCTGGCTACAGTAATTTTTTATTTATGAAAGGAATAAAAACTTCCCTTCACCTTCAGCATTAATTCTGAGCAAATGTCTCTAATCTTCCCTTTTTTCATGCTGTCATGGATCAGTGGAAAGAAAAATAGTATTAAGACAACCAGCCTAAAACAAATGCAGCAGCTCTGCCGACAGTTTAATTCCTACAAGTTAGAAAACTTTCTCCTTTGTTACATATCACACTGAGAGAGCTCCTGTGACAAGTTTCACCATTCTGCATTGCTGTCTCTCCCTTGCCTTTTTTTTCCGAGGTTTGACAAAGATTGCAAGGAAAGTTTAGTTTTTTTGGTTTTTTTTTAATTAGAGATGGTGAGTTTGTAGTACCACAAAATTTGACAAAATAGGAGGCTGGTATATAACACACAAGTACATCAATATTACTTTTTAAACTTGCAAGAACTGTATAAAAATCCTTTTATAAAGATACTTTTCAGTTTAATGAAAGAAAATATCATTTCTACTAAAGCAAATAAATAAAGGTTTTACATACCCTAGTTTAAAAGTAAATAATGTGTTTGCTTTTGTAAGTAGATTCCTTACAATATATAATACAAAAATAAGATAAATTGCTGTAAATGTGCAATTTCCCTGACCTTTTCCTCAGATTTGCAGCATTCTCCTGGGTGCCAGTCACTGTTGTAATGGAGCTTTTGGAGATACTCTCACCAGGAATAATTATACCTTTATTAACACAGTCTAGATTCTTCCATTAAAAAAAAAAAAAAAGAGAGGAAAATGAAAAAAAAAAAAAAAAACCCTATGCCTTCTTCACAAAAATACTGACTGATATTCAAATTAGCATAAAAGTAACCAGGAATGCTGAAGTAGAAAATTATACTACTTTTTATACTAAATATACCTTGAAAATATCAATACGTGCACTGAAGTGTAAATTTACGTTTTACACAGTTTTGATGACTGTTACTTAATGACAGACAGAAAGAAAGAACAAGGAAGTGTTTTCCAGCCCTAGCAGCTGCCAAGGTAAGTGCTTATGACATAGCAAATTTTCTGAGCTTTCTCATGGGTCTGTGCATTACACAAGGTTACCAGTGAGGCCATTCCAGTGTTTCTGATACACTTTTGTCAATATTAATCTTATTCCCCCAGGTGGGCAAAACTCTCCAGCTTAACCCCTTCTAACATTTTAGCATATGAGTACAAATACACTTTCAGATGGATTTAATCTGAAAACCTCTCCTTTGCTTTAATTATGCAGCTCCATTATTACTAATGGCATCTAAAATTGTTCATTCCTCAGATTACAACTGCTGCCAACATGTGTAAAATAGCTATTGTTTATTGTTGAACCAGAAAATGTCTAAAATCCAGTAAAACAAGGAGAGCACACAAACATTCCCTTTACTAGTGAGAGCAAGTTTTGCAATACAGAGAATGGATATATTCAGCCCTCCTGGCTATTGTGCAATTGCAAGTGAACCTCTCCTCCAGGGCAATCCTAAAAATTCTGATTTTTTGAGGAGAAGCTCAGTGTAAGACTGCAATTGTGCTGGGCTCCACTGGTGAGAGGTGAGAAAATCCCATTCCCTCCTGGGGAACAGAGGACATGGCCCAGATGCAAGGTGCTCACAGTTGCCCATGGGCAGGACCAGAGCTGCCTCCTAGTTTGCCTTAAGGTTTGTGTAGTTTGCTTCCATAAAGCACTGACAGTGCTCAGTAGGGAATTAAGGATAATATCTTTCAACACTGTGCCATGTTTACATACTGCAGTACTTGACAAATGCCTGGCATGTGCTACTCACATAAACCCCACAGGTGCCATACAGGCTTATTCAGAGTCAGAAGTTCAAAAGGAGAAAAAAAAAGGGTAACATTATTTGTATGATGAAAATACTATTATAATGGAAATTTCAGTTTTAAAGCCAAATACAAAAAAAGTTTATTTCATGCAACTTACATCTGTCCAAAATTAGAATGGGTGCCTAGATGACTTTTTAATCAGTGATACTTCATGAAAATCAACTCAAATCATCTTTTCCTGTGAGATAAAAATTTCTAATATGCCAAAATTCTGCCATCTTGGTAATACTAATCTAAAATAAGAATGAAGCTATTTAAATCTTTGTAAGACTTTGCATTTGATGAAAATAGCTACTATTACCTTATCATATCCAAAGTACCAGAACAAGGAAGAAATTAAGGTACACTTTTAAAATATTAATAGAAAGTACAGCTCATTATTGTGAAACTAAAGCATAAGTATTGTGTATTTTTATACAGAAATAAGTGTTTTGAGAAAACACAGGAGAAAAGCATATGTCTTTGAAGCGAAAGAACTTCTTGAATTGCATTAAAAGTTTTATGTGTCAATGATATATACTAATTTTCAACATTTAGCAAGCATATAGCAATTAAATCTACTGAGTTGGATAGTGTTTTTCATGCCTTCCAAAAGGAAATACTGCCTGGATGAATGGAGTGAGTGGGGCTGAAAACTGCTTGAATCCCAGGCTGGAAGGGCACTCAGTGATCGATGGTTTCTGCCCTGCTGGCAGCCAGCAGTGAGGACAGCCCTGCAGGGGTCACTTCTGTGGCCATGACAATCAACATCTCACCAGTGACCTGGACAAGGACATGGTGACACATGGTAACTGTTCACAGATGACATCAAAGTAGGAGGATGAGATGGCATGCCAGATGGCAAAGCTTCAGCTAGAAGGACACTGCTCAACTTGAGGACTGGGCCAGGAAACACTTCACAAGGTTCAGTAGAAATGAAAAGTTCTGCTCCTGGAGCAGAAAAATCCCACATGCCGGGGAGAGATGTCTGAGCAGCAGCCCTGCCAAAAACTAGACAGCATTTACACAAAATGCCAGGCTGCAGAACAGCCAGTGGTGCACTCTCCTTGCAGCATGGGATACTCAATTCTGCACTACATGGGCAGGGGATGGGGAAAACTCACCATGCCCTCTCACTCAATGCTGTAAAATGTCACAGGTTGACTAAAAATTATAATTTGGATAGAAGCCCTCATACCTATCCACCTTAGAAACAGAACAAAATATTCCATTATGTCTGCCAATGTTAGAGGAAAAATGCAATAACAGATTTTACACTGAATACAGAGAAGGATTCTGCACTATGAGAAACTGCTCCATGGTACATCTGCTTGAACTTTTTCATTTCTGATATAGACTGCAAATACCTCGTGTTGCATTATTTTATGTCTTTTCTACTTACTAAGCAACTAATTTAACATCCTCTTGGCTTAGAAAGTGCCTTCAATAGAAATATTTAGCATTTCACAGATTTTCTAGAATTTAGAAATGTTAGCATTATTTTTCTTTCAATGAATGTCAAATGAACAATTGTAAAAAACAATTCAGTGATAGCATTTTTAATGTCCACCAAGTTTCAGTTTGCATTGCAAATAAAGGCATTCACAGAGCACTGCCAGAATGCTTGTAAAACTCAAGACCTTCTTTCTGTATTTAAATTAAAGATTTGAGGACATGCAGTTCTGTCCCTCAGATGTGCTTGCAGTCATACACAAATAATACTTCCTCATATCACGGTGAACTGCACACAAGGACAGGAGCAAAGGATGGGCAAATGTTTAATAGAGTTGGCTTTAAAGAAAACTACATAGAATAATTAATTGCTATTTTACACACAATGTGCCAATTTGATTCCTAGTGTAATATTGTTAAAGCAAGCAGGATGACCTTAACTAAATATTATTTAAAAAATCAACTTTCTTTTGATATATTTTCATTTTCTTATAATAACAATTGCAGAACTAAAGAATAAATCAGACTAGGTTCAACTAGGAAAGAGAAAGATAACATTCTTTGAATAACTTAAAATTTTCTTTGGAAGAAATCCCATTAATCTACATAGGGATTTTTATACCAAATTTTTTTTAAAAATTCACGTGCAGTCTCAATTCATAAAAAGTCTACTTAATATTTTCTGTAGGTTTTCATAGTTCTTTCTGATAACAGAAGTGTGTGAAGAAATTGGAACTGATTAACAGCTAGTTGCCCTGCTAGTTACTTTGCTATACCATTAACAGGGAGGTCTAAATTTATCTTAAATCACCAAAGTAATCTCAGTTGTATGGGGACCTGACTCGGAAAAAGGAAGAAGCAGGCTGAGAGCTGGGGGTGTGTGGTAATGCACTGACAACTGTTCAAGCAGCTCTGCTGGCAGACCAAATACCTATCTAGTAATTTTATTTTTGGTCTCAGGACTGGAATCTCAAATAGAAAAATCATATGTTATGTATGTGCAGAAAGGAATACAGAGTCTGTGCATGAAATCTAACCCATCACCAGTGGTGGGATGTGTAACACATGCACAAATGGAAGACTAGATCATACCATATGGAATGTAGCTCTTATCTAACAAATTACTGTTTGTTTCTTTTATTAAGATCTGCCCTCCTATTGTTTAATGTTTCAGAGATTTTCAAATAGAAAGTGCCAAGTCTTCTCCCACTTATATTAACTGAGGCTTAGCGACACATAAGAGACTTTTTAAAATCAAAAAATATAGAACCATTTTATGAAAAAATGTAAAGTATATTTTGCACAAGAGCTGTTTTGGCAACACAAGTAGAAGTTGTTAGCTATAACACATGGGAACCTCTGCCATACTCTACAACATAATTTTAGATAAGAAAAGTGGATGGGGAAAAAACAGAGCCAGGAAAATAAACATAGTGTGTGGCAGAAAACAGTTGCATTTACAGTACTATCCAGCTTCTGGAGAGAAGCCAGAGACCTTCACATGAAATCCTTCTGTGCTTTTAACACTGTTGCAAAGCTTCAGGGATTTCTAATTGTATAAACAGTTAGGGGAAAATGAGATTCACTGAGAGATCTGTGTCCAGGCAGTACTAAATGTGATGACTGCATCTCAGCATCAGTCATTTAGAATATGAACTTTCTGACTAGCAACTCATATGCATTTACCAAAACTGAAATTCAACCAGCTAGCAGTTTCTTTTCAGTCTGATTATACAGTCAGCATCCCAAAGCTAAAGCATGTGCACTAGGTCTCATACCTCTGAAATGCAGTTGGATGTTTGGTTATCTTTTGATTTCAAATAAAGCAGGTCTTCCAGTATTTATATTGTGATAAAATTCTAGAGCTTTAAAAATCTGCCCTTCACACAAGCCTAAGCATAGATATTTTAAAATTACTTAATGTACATCTTCATATTTTGTTAAGGCATGAACAATGGCATATGAATGGGAACAGCTTCCAGAAAAGCATCTTTTTGACAAAGGCCAGTCCAAGCATATCACACCAAAGGACTAACCTGAAGCCAGAAATGACAGTGTTGTGACCCAAGAGTTTTTAACAAAAATAGTTGAAACAAAATGGAACTTTTTTCTATTTTTTCTTTTTTTTTTTTACTTTAAATTGTATTACTCTTAATGTCTGTTTAAAGCACCGGTTGCAGTTTTGCGCTTACCACCTCTTCCGAGTGACTTTGGATACTTCATCTGCTTCTTTATTTCTGAATTTTCGGCGTATGAAACTTCAAAAGGGTTCTGTTTCCTTTTTTTTCTTTTTTTTTTTATTTTTTAGTTTTGATGGCTGCTGCAAAATTAGAAAGATCCAGAAGTGGTCAGGGGCCTGGTCTAATGCACTTCCAAAAGTCCATTATAAAGATGAATATAAATGCATATGATATGGTTTTTCCGTAGACCCACAAACCACGCTTAGCTATAAGAAACATATTGTGCATAGTTATTTTTTTTCTTCAGAGTGATATGTTTACTAGGTCTACATTCTCAGTTCACCAGAGTACAGGAATGTCTACTTTACTAAAGCCAGGATCCTTTCGCAGTTCCCAGTAGGTTTCATTGGTAACCCAGGCTTCTCTTTGATTAGCGTCAATTACTTTTCTGTAGAAAGGGGAAAAAAAAGAGAGAAAGAGACAAAAAATATTGCTCTTATGCAATATAAAATCAAATTCCACACTTCTCTGATCTAACCCAATATTAAATCAAATTTCATATTTCTAAAGGACACAACAGTCAGAAATTTAAAAACAAAAATCAACCTTTACCTATATCAAAAGCGGAAGACAGAGAAGACATCTGAGACTGAAAATCTGTTGTTTGTTCTGTAAGAGCAGGTCCTAGAGCCACCTAAAACCCCTTTGCTCACTACAGATTCTGATTATGTGAAAGGTATTATCCAACAGATATAGCTTACAGAATGTAAGCCTTTAACCATTTATTTTTTTGTCCCTGCATTTTGCTTATATTATGCTACAACTGGATCGAGCATATTCAGTCTTTTCACTTTTGATTCCCCATGTTAGACATGAGGCTACTTGGCATGACTATTCCTTGTTTCAGAAAAATGCTTAATTAAAAAACAGCCAACAAAAACACTTCATTCAAAAATGAATGTATTTTAAGTGTATACATATAGATTTATATTTATCTACATCTTGTAGATATATATATATATGTATGATGTTGCTGTTGATGTCACATGGTATTACTTGTCTAGGCAATGACTTTAAAATGCCCCTAGTTAAATCTTAGGTTCTAATATTATACTTCTAATTCCACTTCAGTAGGAAAGCTTATATAGCTGAGGCTCATTATGAGAAAATGATCATTCAATTATGAATCTTAACTGTGTAAAAACTGCTTCAGAGAAGCAGGTGTCAGATATCTTTCTTAAAACTTTCATGATTCTCAGTCTGTGTTGGTGGTAATTCTTGTAGTACTTCATCCAGTTACAAGCTGGAAAACAGAGACTTACTACTCAAATGAAAAGACTCACTTAAAAAACTTGGGTACATATTCAATGCCGTTTTCTTCCATGTACCGCCTCCGAGCTCTCTGGAGTTCCTCTATTCTTTGTTTCTCAGATGCTGCTGCTTCTATATTTCCTTCCTCCAGAAGCCTGTAGGAATAACAGCAGGCTGTATAGCAATCACACAGTGTCTAGTCCAAGGGATTTTCCAGTATCCATCATCACAAAAGACAAGCAGAAGCCAAGTGTGTTGTCAGTGTTGTACTTTCAGATCCAGCCTGAGATGTGACTCTCCAGCTGTGTGTACCTGACCTACAGCCTAAGGCACAGGCTTTGTTCAGCAACTTCAGCATATCACACTGAAGGACTATGAACTGAGAATTCGGAGGGAATTAGTGCTGATTCCGTCCATAGCAGAAGTGCACAGCATTTCAGAGCCTGTTTTCCAGTTTGTCGTGAGCAATCTGCCCCAAGGTTGCACTACAGCTCTATAGCATCAACAAGAAGCTTTCTAATTTCCCTCAGCTGGGTTAAGCAGAAATTTGAGTGCAATACTGACTATCTGCTCTACTAGCAGAATCCTCTACAGCTTAATTCAGACTGCAGTGAAGATACAGACAGAATTCAAGACTCAGCCAAACTCAGCCTTGAGCCCACCAAATATTAAATGTATAAATAAGCATTCTTGCCTTTGATCTGGCCTGAATCGTGCATCTGTTGCAGGAAGAAGATCTTTCAGTAAAGGATCTAATTCATTGAGCTCAATAGCAAACCTTGTGAAGCCGTAATAACGCTCATAATTGGTTGGCATGGAGCCTGAACACATAAGACAAAGAAAAAAGCTTTTAAGCTATTACTCTAAATATGCAAGAGATTCGTTTATTTATACACTTTTAACAGAAAAATAGTTAATATATTTTACTCTTACAGTTAAAAAGCACCAAAAGCTATTCTGTAAGAGAAACAAAATTCACTAAATATTAGTATCAATTGCTTATCCTGCAGAGATTGTAATTACATGTTAATAGACTCAAAGCTTCTATGATCTTCCTCCCATTTTAAATAAAAACTAATGTTTTCAAGCTTTCCAAATTAAAAACAGTTTTCTGTTCCCCAGAAAGTGGGTCTATCAAATGTCTGTCTAAAACCTAACCTTAACTGATCTTTAGAGTTCATTTTGGAACTTAGCACACACTCACAGCCTGATTCACCACTACAAGGAGTCAGAACAGACAGTCAGGAAGAGAGCAGGGTGCAAAGTACCGTTCAAAATACCAAAAATACAAAGTAGGATTCAAAATTATAAGAAAAATAATTCCTGGATAACGCACGTATGAAAGATACAGGTGCAAAGGATGACTAATTCAACCTCAGGCCTCTAAGCAAGCAGGAAGTTGAAAACTCAATAAACCCCTGTTTGGTGAATCCAAAAAAGTTACCCTGCTCCCTGTCAAAAGGCAGACAGGCCTCCCCAGATGCCCAATTTTTTTCTTAATTTTATTCTTCTGTTGACCCCAAGGTCCCAGCACATCTGACCAGGAGTCAGACTGAGATGCTAAAGATTATGACCTGTAAGAACATTTCCATTTACCATTATTATACACCCATGTAAACTGCTGTTTGTCTAGCCAGGGATTTAAACTTCTCTAGTATTATTTTGTGTATTTAAAATGTAGGCTAAAACAGCTTCACACCTTCCAGAATTTTTTACAAGCTTCTTACCTGGCCTCCATATGCATTTGGCTGAAGGTGCAACCCCACAGTAGAGGCCTTCGTGCCACTTTCCAAAAAGGCGGTGAACCACCTTCCCTTCTTGATCTATCACAACACCCTGGACCTCATTTACATTGGAATTCCAGTAGTTCACCTGCAAGGTTAACCAAGAATTACTAGCTCACACTGCTTTTCCAACAGCCCATTGTAACAATACACATAATGAATGTCTCTCGGCTGTGGTGCCCGCTGTCCAAATTCTGTGTTGGAACAGCTCACCTGGAACTAAGAATACCAAAATTTAAAAATCATATGGTCCTAACACTAACTGATTTATTAAACAGAGAAACACTTGCAATGTGGTTTTGACATAAAAGCATTTAAATTAACTGCACATCTGGGAACAACATTCTCAGTCATAATCACAAATCCCACACAATTCTGCAAAAATGACCTTTTGCCTCTAACAGTCCTCTTCCTATACGAGGAGGTATTAAACATACCTGTACTTGTATAGGAATCCTTTCATGGGTGCTGAACACCACTGTATGCAGCAGGGAAGACATTACACATTGTTTCTTTCTGTTTCTCTTCTCTGTTTTGCTTTTCTTAGACACATTTAGCTCTTGCACCTTCATCCAAGAGCCAGTTGCCCATTCTCAGATTATCCAACAAAATACAAATTTCAGATTTATGTTAACATCCCATTGTTAACACTAAAATGGTATCGATATCTTTTGTTGCAATGTGAAGACAAATTTATTTTTAGGGAAAATACTTGCTAGTAAGATAGCTATATAAACTTCTATTTTTATATATGATCCTTGCCTGGATATTACAGTACTATGAACCAAAGCAGTAATACATACTGTAAAGAGAGAAAATATTGACCGAAAAATTCTAGTAGAAGGAGAAGCAAAATGGCATGGCAGTGTACAGTGACTTTGTGTTTTCATTGTGTTACTATAAAAAAATGTTGACATTTCATTTTTAATCAAAAACCAGCAACAGTACAGCACACAGCTATACAGCAATGGAACACACTGACATCAAATGTTCAGAGGAACAGAATCTTACTAATTGACATCGCATTCTCATTTGAGAATTTACATTTTATGAATACTGATAAAAGGAACAAAAGATAAAATGTGGAATATGGACTTCAGGAATAGTGAAGAAACAGCTTGATGTACCCTTAAATTACAGTTATATGAATATAAGATATATATTAACATCCATATGTTACCTTGACAAAAGTGAGTTTACAAATACAAACACTGCTTTTTGTGTTTCTGATAGTTATCTCTCCGTAGTGTTCTATCCATCTCCTTCCACTAAGAATATTATGTATACAAGTAGTGACTTTGTTCCAGACATAGTAATCTCCGTACCTAAGAACAGATTAAGAAGTAGTTGGTAATATCTATTCATCATGAACATTGCTGACAAAAAAGTAAAACATTCCTCCTTTATTGTAAAAACAAACCACATTTCCCAAAAACACCCACACAGATGACAAAGTCCTGTATCTGGTTACATCACTAATCCTCCTTAGAGAAGCTCACCTAAGCTCCAGAACTACAAAAAGGTGCTATAAACCACAAATAAACACATTATGAGCCACTGAAGCCCTGCATGGCCTATTCACTGTCCTCAGAGCATGAAGTGCTATGGCCACGATTCCTATAGGGGCAGGACAGTGACCCAAAGATCAACAAAAGGCTGAATTGAAACTACAAACAGAAAATGCAATTAAATCACAAACAGAACAAAATAAATATGAAAACCATACTACAAGTGTGGGAAATTTGGACAGGAGATCAAGGAAAGGAAGTAGAAAGCCAGGAGCACACTGGCCCATCATCCCTTTGACTATCCAGTCAGAGCATGTCTAACATCAAACAAGAGAATAAAACCAGAGGATTATATTATGCAAAGCACATTCTCCTTCAGAGTTTAGGGGAAGGCATGAAGACAGAAGACAAAGCTGCTGCAGAGTGCATTTACTTTAATTTTATGAGATGGATAAAGAGGTGAAGTGATGCTATATTGGTAGAGGCAGAAAGAAAGGCTGGCTGCAATGTACAGGAGCAAGAACACCACTACAAAACCAGAAGACACGTTTAAAGTACCCACTCCTGGCATATTCTTAGGATTTACAAGCTGCAACTAGTCTCACTGGCGGTGAAGCTACTGCCTCTCACTGCTCTGCCAACATCTCCATACAAAGTATGGAGAATATACATCGGTTTATCGACATTTTTGAAAAAAGACCTTTCATGATCTTGTTGTTCTGAGGGAACACTCAGAGGCACTGAGAGCCTTAGGACAACACCAGCTGCTGACAGTCCTGCACAGCAGCCTTGTTCTGAACAGCTCATCACTGCTGTACACATAAAACATGGGTTCCCTCTCCCAAAACATTCCTATCTCTCTCTCTCTCCATCACTTTGCATATTCTTCCTCCAAAACCTAAAATGGATCTTCAGGCTCAAAAATGTTCCAGTAGCCCCACATAAACACTAAGGAAAGATTAAAGCTGGGCACAAACCCTCACCAGTACAATCCACATATCTGCTTACTCCAACCCATTCACAAGGCAGCCCAGACTGGAGTGTACCAAAGCTTGAAAACAAGAGAGTAGCTTACTTTGGAAGAGTCACATTCAAGGTTCCAACAGGCAGAATTTCCATTGATTTCCCCCAGAATTTGTTTTTCCACCTGATATCTGAATATAACAGTGAAATACTTAAAATGCTGAAATGACCAAGGTCTCCCCCTTGCACTGATCTGTGTGGCACCAGACCATCTGTGCTGGACTATCCAATTCAAAACAGGGCAGTAGGTAGTATGAATTTGCCAAGAAAATACTAAAGAAAAAAAATACTAGAAAATTACATTAGGTCAGAAAAACTAAATGTAAGTTTAATTAAGAATTGCGTCTGTGCTGCATGATTGTCAAATATCTTGTGCAAACATTCAATACAAATTAAAGGCATACACCAGTAGGTACAAGGAAAGAAAGAGTAATTTTTTCTACTGTAAAAAGAACTGCTTGTGTTTGTAAGAAATAGTAATTTTATTGGTAAAAACCTTTTAAATGGGAGAGTATAAACAGGCTGCAAGTGACAGAGGAAGTTGTAATATGTTTGCTCACTCTTAATGAGAATTTGGAGTAAAATAAATCAGATCATCAGTTTATAATATGTCACTTCAAAATAATAAGTATAGAAATTCTGAGTAAGTTCCAAATGCAAAGCTCAGCTTTTATAAGTTTTATTTGACAATAAAAAAGGAGTTATGCTTTTGAATTAAAAAGCATACCTTGCCAAAACACAAAGTTTTTCGATTCACAGTGACAGGCCGAAATGGGAGGATGGTGGCTAACCTGAAACACAATTTGGTTGAGTCAAAAACATTTAATTTTCATTCCTAAGACAGTACAATTGTTATTGCAATATGAAAATACTAAACAGCTCATGTTGCTATGAAAACAGATACAACTTAAGTGATTGTACTTAAAACAGCTCCCAGTGATTACTATAAAGATGTATTCCTTCTAGCCCTTAAAGAAGTCCACTCATATTAACAATATTTATTTACTTCTAAGAAAGCAAACCATTCTAAGTAGAAAGAAAAATAGGATTATATATAAAATGAAGAACAAAAAAGATAAATCTAAACAGGAGCGTCTATCTAAAAACAAGGTTTACCTGCTCTGAGAAAAATCGAAATCCTTTGTCTTCTCTAATACATTCATAAGTTTCACCAAGCACAGGGTTAAATGGCTTGCTTCCCGCTCTAAAGTATGTAGAGGCATAGCCTGATGCTGCAAAGGCAGCTATGAGAACCTGTAAAAATACAGACCAGAACATGAGAACAGGCAGACACTCCTGTGTATGTGCCATCACTGTGTGGTACCACACAACTCATTCTGCTCAGAGTCACAGCTGGAATAATGAAGCATGCCTGACAGTGAAACCATGCATCCCAGCCAGAACAAGTATAAACTTTATTTCTTCTGTTGATATAATTTCTTTTTCTTCATGGCCTCATTCAGTCTTTCAACAGTCCCTTAAAATGACAATCTGCAAATGACACAGTTTTTTCTGGCTTTCACCAGGCTTATCATTAGTGACCTGAAGCTCTAGTCCTTCTTTCTGTGAATAAATAGTATGTAATAAATTCTAATTATGAGATCACATATCATTTTCCTATGGGAATTATTTTATTTAGTGCCAAACATGAACAGCTCCCACTTAGCATGCTCTTAACCCAGAGTTATCTCCAAATCTTCCACACATATGCAGCCCTAACAGCCAGCCCCCTTGTCTACATGTACAATAACAATAATCTCTAAGCCATGCCTGACTGGAAGTAATAAGTGAAGTGGGATGCCATGGTTATTTAGTTTACAAGGTCCCATTTTCAGAGTTTTAAAAAAAATCACATCAGCCAGTCAGAAGTCCAAACAAAACTTCAGAAAACAACACAGGGATAAAAATGAGTCAGCTATTGGCAATATGCTACCAATGGGGCAAATGTGCTTTGTTTTTGTCCCACTTTGTAATAGGTGCTCCATTCTCTTTTCATTTTGTATTATTCAGAAATGCAGCATCAACAAAATTAACAGTTTTTTCACAGGCTTTTCTTCAACAGTAAAAACCTTCATTCCTCTAAAACTGTTTTCAGATTGATTTCAACTTCCTTTTCAATTTAACTATAAGACACTGGAGTTTACTATCCTTGTGATATAGAGAGCAGTGTGAAAAAAAAAGATTTCCACTGCTTATTGAAGATAGCAAAGTCCTGCTCTTTCAGAGAACAGTGAACAAGCAGTAATGTATTCACAGCATTGCTGCCACAAGCTTTGGGTATTCAGCTCTTTTCCAAGTAGTTCCATATGCTTCAGCTCAGGTATGCAGTTTGCATTTTTAGGGATGCTGTTTAAAAGTTTGGTTGTATTCCCAAGTACTGCAGTAGACATCTGTATTAGAGAAGGGGACTGAATCCACCTTTCCAAGGAAGCTTTCAGTTGCACCATGGCTTCTCCTTCCAGAATTCTCCCTACTACTTCAATACTGACCTTCCAAACTTTTTAATAAAGGTAGCAATCAGTGTGCTTTACTCATTACTTCTTACAGAATCTCCCTCCTTTTGTGAGGGACAGAATCACAGAATACTCTGAGTTGGAAGGGACCCACTATGATCACCTCCTGAGTCTTGTAAGAAAACAGAATGTGATGATGAATAATTCAACTCCCTTTCTCAAGGTAGCTTCAACTTCTTCAGTGCTTAGGACTCCTCACTCTCCTGCAGGCCTTGTGAACACAGCAGAACAGGGACTTGAGTGTGTGATTGTGTGACAGCCAAATGCAACCTCTCTTCTCTCAGCTATCCACAGTGCTGCAAACCCATACCAGGGAGCAGCAGATATGTTCAGCAACAACACTGCCAACTTCTCCTTACAGCCTTTCCCTTTATCTTCTGAGGAAAAGGAGACATGACAGATAAAAGCACCCTGAGAGTTGAGCACAGGCTGCTGGCTGTCACTAAAAAAACCAAAACAGACTTACAGGGGAGCTGGTCAGGCTACCCAGGCAAACTTTCTTCTGGTCTTTTAAAACTTCTCTCCTAGAAATTGCCTGGGAGGACATCTTATTCACACCTATAGTGATCATAAGGCAGCCACAGACTTTATTAACTCTTGAAGGCTGCTGGATTTGACCACTGAAAGCCAGGAAAGGATGCTGCAGAATTAGAAACTGCCAATGCCTACATCTACAGTCACGGAGCATGAGATTAATCCTAAATAAATGAGTTACAACTGCAGGACTTGGTTTGAGGTCAAGAAAAATCCCGCAGCCTTGTTCAGATCAAACCTACCACCTGTAACTGTTGACAACACTTTTGCAACCCAGCAGGGAGGTCTGTTGTCTGTGACCAGGAGGAGAAAGAGAGGACCCTGCATAGACCCCACTGAACAGCTCCCTTTTTAACACAGCCAGAAGTGCTACACTAAAAGCATTACCATGCGCTCATAAGGATCATCTGTTTCAGCAGCCTTGTCCAAGAGTTCACTGTATTCCAGCTCTTCACAAAGATGTTGCAAGGTATTCAGAGGTTCATTTAGCTCAACTGGCATGGATACTTTGGAAAGATCTTTGCCAATGTTATTTCTCAAAATATTCCACAGATTGATGTTACTGGTGTCAGGGCTGGGAGCTGGGAGACAAGTCCTCCGTCCATTTCTGAACGCGCCTCCTGTCAGCTCACCATTAAGAACTGGGAAGGGAAGAAAAATATTGTCATAAGAAAGCACCAGACTAAGAAAAACAGAGCTCTCAATTCAACCAAATAACTGCCAGAACAAGCAAGCCCAACTTCATTGTTTTCAGCTGAGTTGGACTTGTTTTGACATGCAGTAATTCTGGTACATGAATATAACCAAGGTAATTTCTCAAAGTTTGAAACACAGTATACTTTGCCGAGAAATGTTGTCTGCAACACTGGTGTTGTCCTCAGATATATTGTCACTCACATCACTGATATAAGATTCATCATCAGAAGCCTAAAACATAAATAAAATATCCATTAACTCAAATACATATAAAATATACAGGCAAAACAGACAAAAATAACTGAAACACAGATATTAAAAAAATATTCTTTATCCAATTAAAACTATTAGCTAAATGAACTGAATGTTTCAATCTGTCCATAGTGCCAATGCACTAAAAGGGTCAAAAAAAATGCTACGTTGTCCTCACGTTCCTGAATTCCTTATTATCCAAATACAGACATGAGATCTGCAAAAGGTGGCTTCAAGTAAGATCAGGGATGAAAAGAAATTGATAACATAATGTTCTAGGGATGGGAGATGAAAAGAAATAGTCAGATTTGTGCTATTTATAAAGAACCAAACAATAAAATGTGACTTACGTTTCAGCAAACAAATTATGTTAACATTGATCTATTATTTTGAAAAACAAGAATCTCATCAGCATTAAGAATATTTTAAATTTTTTTTTACAAAACTGTTTTTTCAAGAAATATTACTTTTTTGTCTATTTCTCTCATTACAGAGAATAATTTTATACACATATGTAGTATAAGATTTTTTAAAGAATATTTGAAAATCTAAATTTAATTAACTGCACAGCCAGCTGTAACTGCCTATGTCATCCTTCAGTGGAACTGCCATAGCCTGGAAAGGACATATGCTGAGCCTAAGTTACTGACACAACTAACTTTCAACTCAGTTTTACACTTCAGGGAACTCCTGCACCTCTTTATGTGATCTCAGGTTTGTTTATCTACACTTTACACATTCTGATACCTTTTTATTCTAAGTAGCATTACTAAAAAATTCACTCGTGGTAGCACTACCTAACTGTGTCCAGCAGCACAGCCGCCACTTGCTGTCACAGCCTACCTCGTTTTCTGACGAGCTGGCAGACAGAAGCACTTCCTGTGCATCAAAGAACTCTGAAACAGATTCAGACATAGAGAGCCTGCTTTCATTAGAAACTTGCTGAGACAGTGGCAAACTGACATGAATTTGTTCACCTGTCTGTAAATAAAGCACAGAAAAGTAGAAGTATTATTTCTCATATTAAAGAAATACGTGTAGAAGGGGTAAATCACCTGAGTAAGATTTCTATGGCAAATACAAGTACAGGGAGTAAAGACAGCATGCTACTAGGACTTTGTGTGTACCTAACAGATGACACTATGCATGACAAAATAAAGTGCATTTTGAACAATGAGATACATGTCTTCATTTGAGTCCTGCCCAGCATCTACTGCCAAGTTTTAGCAGTATGAAATTGCAGATCTACTTCTCTATGCAGAGAATTGATTTTGTGGACAATAGTTGGATTGTGTCAGACAAATTCAACCATGAACTTCAGATTAAATTACCTCTAGTAATAACAAATTACATCACTGAGAGCTAGCTTTGATACAACTAAAATTTAATTATAAAGATTTATAAGGTCTGGGAGTTATGTTACTTTCCAAATAAATGACCATGTGAACCAGTTTAGTAACAATGCATGAAATGTTTGAATATTTAGGAGGATAGCTATAATATGTATTTTTATGGGCTTTTATTCTATGTTTATACTCCTAATCTCATTTGCATTATGCCATTAACACTGACCCAATACTTCTTAAAGAAATGAACTCTCTATGGTTTATTATAAAGAAATGTAACAGCGAAGTCCAGGATTCAAAACTGTGCCACGTTGATGTCAGTAGTGCAGCAGGCTAAAACAGTGAAATATACCCTCCTCTTCCTGTAGTGGTGGGTGGGACACCAGATTTCAATGTTACCCTGCAGGCTATCCCATTAAGAAAAAATTAAGATGCTCTCCCTGTACCATTTTACCACAGGATCTGTTGCTGTGGAGGGAAACAGATCTTGGACCTAATCCCTAACTTCCTACAGCATGTTGTCCCTGGGAGATAATACAGATGAAACTACTGAAATCCTTTTAAACACAATACAGATGAAACTACTGAAATCCTTTTAAACATAGTTAACTCTTCAGATTCCAACACAATCCCAGTTAATCTTATTCCAGAATTCCTGCATATGGTTTTGTTGACATCGTAATTCCGCAGAATTATTCCATTCAGTTACCTCAAAAAGCACTAACAAAACATCCCAAAAAAGCATAAACAAGCCAAGAAGTCAAAACCCATTCTTTTTTCATTAGGACTTAAAAGATGGATTGTGATGCTTGATGACTTATAATGAAAACAGAGTCTCATTTTACTGTAATCATTACAGGAAGTGACAAAAATTTTGAGGTTTCACATAAACTAGAGGGACTTGGAAAAATACACATGTTCCTACCTGAAAAAGACCCTCACACAAGCATTATCTATGCAGCAAGATTATAGAGATATATATAAAACAAGCAAGATAAGTGAATGAGAGATCTGGAAACTTTGAAAAACTTCTTCAGTCAAGCTTACTTCTACCAAGACAATGATGAACAAATGAAAAAGAAACAGCTAATCAACAAAAAATACAGAACAGAAGAGAAGGTCATTGCCCAGAACTTCACTGTAGATTGCTGTGCTGTGGCACCACTTCACTTCTATGTTCTGTTGCTAGCCTCCAACATGCTGGATTCTTGGAAAAATTGCTTAGACATTTTCAGAAAGCAAATAAACAAAAACAATTTTACCTTTCTTGCTTGTTGGAAGAAATAACTAGGAGACAAGACTATGTTAACTGAAATGACATATGCATAGAAAAAAAATAGTGGAAATGACAAATCAAAAACATTTTTGTAAAATGCATACAGAATGGTTGCCAAAGTGACCATACTAATCATAATATATTACAGTCCACAAATTCAGATTTGTCACAAGGGAAGCTCACTGTTATTAATACAAATGTTTGTTGATCTGCTGACTAAGGAAAGCAAAACAAGGAAAACTAGATGTTGCAAAAAATATTAGTGTAGTGCTTGGTTCATGGACTGAAGCTTTTGATTTTAACAGTACCACTCAAGATTCTAAACGTGAGGCCCTTTAGACACTTGCAAAATCAGGTCATTAAATAATTAATTGTTCTGTTGATTTGTCAAGAAACTAAGATGCAGAATTGGTTAGCTACTGTGTGATACATTCAAATACAGTAAAACCTCACTAATTCCCACAGCCAACAATTACTATTCCAAAACTGGAGTCCTTCTCTGCTCCTCTAAAGAGACCAAGCTGAGTTCTTTCATGTCTGATGTATGGAAAACAAAAGACTGAAGTTTTATTATAGGTAAGGAAATACAACCTGACTTTTTCTATGATTGAACATTTGCCAATGTGAAAAATTCAATAATTTTTCAGGTGTGTTTCATCTATTTAGTGAGAATTAGCAAGGTTTGTTTGTACTCTAAATCCATTAAAGGCCAAAGTCTTACCTCATCAGGACTAGGAATAATATTTACACTGACAACCTGATCACAAATAACAGATTCTGAATGTATTCTGTTCAAGCGACTCCTTAGTTCAGCATTCTGGTTGAGAGCCTTAAAATAAAAATTGCACATTTCATTTAAAATTAAAATGTAAACATTAGGAAAAAGAAAAGTTAAAAAAAAGAAAAAACAAAAGAAGGAGAAAAAAGCTTCTTTCCAGCAATTTCCTAAAAAAATCACAGAACCTCCTTTCTTTCATTTATAGGGAGATACCTATTTTGAGATCCTCTCCAACATGATTTCATCTTTGGTTACTTTGCCTTCACTGCTTTTCAGGAGATGGGGGGACAGATGTTCTCCCACAATGTAATACTGGCATTCTACCTCAGCTCTTCAGAGAGCTCTTTGGCAGGTGTACTGGTGGGTTATGTACATTATGGAAATGGGGAGTGAATACAGCAACAAAGAGTGAAACTGCAGAACAACACATGGGAACTAGCCACAAGATGCCCAAAAGGCAATTGTTGGTTTACAACTACACAGCCTCTCCTGAGTCAAGGTTATCAGCACTAAGAGGCTGCAAATGGAAATTGCTTTCTTTCCAGTAAAACCAACATTGCTAGTATCATTGTCTACCCACCCAGATCAATTTTATAGGTTTACCCTTGTACTTATTTCAAACTACTGATCCACTACATAACAAATACCAGCAAAATTCAACTGGTGTCTGCTACCTGCTGATTTTTCTCCTATTTTAAAGTCCAACCTAGATTACAAATTTGGATGCATAAATACGTATTATCTGTTGGTTGGAAAGACTAGTGGGTGAGATTCTGAAATCCAGAAGTATAATATGCTACATATCTAGAACATGGCTGATTTAACATTAATATATCCCCAGCACCGAGGATTATAGAAAATAAGAACAGAGATTCATTTTGTTTCTGTAGAAAAGGACTATTGTAATGGAGTAAGAACCTTCTTCTGTCTCCCCGTACTGCAGACTGAGGAATAGATTGCATGAATGTACTAAAACAAAGAAAGACAAAGGAAAATAGGTAAGTTTAAACTGTCTCTGAACAGCTTAAATCACCCAATTTTGCTTTGTTCTGAAATGGTCTGAGCATGTTCCTAGTTGCCATCCCTCAGAGAGGGAAGGTAATGACTAACAGCAGCCTGACAGTAGCTTCAACAGCTCAGCCCTGGTCAGGAGACTGGACAAACCCAGTCACAGTCAATTTTCCACTTCCTCTCCACTGAGGCTGTGAACTAATGTGTGACAGTGACTTTCAAACTAACCTTGGAAGCCAGGACCAAGAAGAAAACACGATTCCCTATTTCATCTAAGTTTTTAATAAATATCCACAGGTCTTAGATAAATTTGTGTCAATAACCAAAAATGCTTACCTTATCTCTTGCTCCTAACCCTTTTTTATCACAATGCACAGAAATCAATCTGCATAACATGATATTAATCTGCATCTAAAGAAAGGTTTGTCTTTAAACATCTGCTCATTCTTCTTGCAGATGCAATCCTCCACACCAATCCAGCAAATGCTTTTATGCTTCCTTGACAATGAATTTTGAAAAATTGAGTTATTTTGCAACCTGAGGACTTATTGTTGCTAATTTCTTCTCTCCCACTAAAGCAAATTATAATTTTTCCTTTAGCTTAAGTGGGAGAGATGCTGGAGAGTTAATAGGTCTGTATCTGGAAATCCAATTTACCCATGACTATATTGCAACCCAGGATTCATTTGCATTTAGAGACACGGACATATAAAACAAATCTGACAATATATGGTCAAAATTTAAAACTTAATTACAAAAACAAGACTATTTCCTTGGCTGTGCTGGAACAGCTCCAAGAAAGACATCTAGCACTTGTATAAAAACATGTGATCCTTTTGCTTTACTTTGGAAAATCGTAACAGATACACGCTTACACAAACGATATCCTTCACCTCCACATGCAGTGAGGTTATATCTACATCATAACAGAATATGCCATAGTTCTGGCTGAGAACTTGGCTTTTTCTTGGCTCCTTTGACGTGAAAGGAAATGGCTAAAATATTAAAGAAATAGTGCACCAGGAAAGATAGATGTGCTTGAAATCAAATCAAGAACATACCTGAGAGAGGGACTGTCTGAGGTGAGCTATTTGAGCATTGTGGCCTGTAAGATCCTGCTCCGAAACAATCTGTTTAAGCTTCTCCTTCTCTATAGCTATGCTGTTAAAGGCAGACTTCAAAAGAGAATGCACTAAGCAAAAAGAAAAAAAATAAAATAGGTGTTTTCTTGGCTACAGAAATCACATTGCCATCTCTTACAATATTTCAGCAATAAACACAGAGTGAGTCCATCCCACAGTAATGGACATTTGAAACAAGGGCCTGAACTTCAAGTAATCCATGCCAAATTAAGTACAAACACCTACAGCTTGCGATTGCAATGTGCGTACTGTATGCTCACACATATCTCATCTGAGCATATTCTTGGTGCTGAACATATGGAAAGGTGCACATTTGGAAAAACTGTGTCCAATGTGTGTTATTTTCTTTCTGGTTTTTATTTGTACTTTTCAGAGTAACAGAAACATCAGTTCTGCTAGACTTAATATTGTACTAATAAAGATGATTGCTTGGTCTTTAAACAGGTTTAGAATTTTTTAAGATGTCAGTCTCACATTTTTTTCTATGCTTGTTATATAACAGCAAACTGTTAAGAAAACCTTCTTAAAATGGTATTTTTTTGTTTGTAGGACCATTCACTTACAGGCAATAAAACTGCAATTCAAAAGTACATTCCTGTAATAAGCTCTTTTTCCATTGATTCCATTGACATAGAAAACATTGCACAAAAATGATTTCACAGGATTATGTGCAGCAGTTACATTCTGAATCATCTTTGGGGAGAAATAATACATTTTGTTGAGGAAAAAAATGTTTTCAAATTCAGTCACTTATTTACAGAATGGAGAAAGCAGTTCAGAAGACTTGGAAAGCAATTTCAAAGTTTACCCAGCTCTACATTTATGACATGCATGGAAAATATAAGAAGGTTAATAAAAAAGCAGCTAAAAACTCTTATACAGTGTCACCCAATGCAGATGAAAGCCCTGGCCATAACTAAGTGAGGGCAACAAAGAAACACAACAGAGAAGCAGGTTACAGGGAAGGCTTGGCATCTCCAGCTACCTTTTTGTGCCATCAAGCAGAATTCTTCTTGAAGCTTCATGTACTCAGTAGAGCACTCCAGAGGGTCTGCCACATGGCTTGGGGGAGCCTGAAACTCAATGTCTGCACAGAGGTTGGGGTTGGATGAATGCAATCGAACAGGTGACATCGTAGCACTGAAAGGGACCTACAGTGAGAAACAGAGAAGAAATGCTGTATAGGGTGTAATCAAACTTTTGACTCTGTTGAAGCAAAACAAAATTTTTTTCTGAAAAGACTTAGTTCACAATGTGAAGAATATGGCAAGAGTGAACATGTAACTTCTTACTCTCCTAATTCTCAATAGAGCTGATGCAGATTTCTCTAGAATTTTTTCACTGAGATAGAAAAAAGAAGGCCTAAACACACAGCTAATGATGGAGTATTTAAATTCTAACGTTTACAAAAAATGGATGATTTCCTAATGCTTAGAAGATTACTGGAAAACTGAACCATGAGACATGTCCTTTATATTTGGACATTTTGAGAGTAATTGTAGATAAGTCTGTTGTTGCAATACCAACATTTGAAGTATGTAAGTTCCTCCACAGATCCAGAAATAGGATATAATATCATATTTACCATTGAAGTTTTTCAAAACTACTTCTAAACTTTCAGTTGAAACTCACTGTACTGGCAATCATGAAGAGGGAAGAAGCATAGTCTTTCTATTTTCTTTTAACTAAACAAATAAACAATGACAACAAAATAAAATCAAAACTTTGCCTGATTTGCATTTAAAATACATGGACCATAAATAAATGCAGAGAGATACAGCTTAGTAAGATGGAGCAAAGAATTTAGTTTATTATCTTTCCACTTCACTTTCTCCTCTAATTTTCAGGTACAGTAATAAAAATAAAAATACATGCAAGACTTTCTAAGTTATATATACATGTATCATGTACCGAGCAGTTACCTCTATGCTACATATGCACTGTATGGCTACCACTGCTATGTAAGTGATACGTGTGCAAGAGTATTTCATATTTTACTTTAATGTTACCATTTACATGCATTCATATGAAAATGAGGCCAAGAACACAATTTTTAACTGTAAAAGCAACAGAAAGACATGCAGAACTACATTTTGTCATTTACCACTGTTTAATGTATCAAGCACTGTTTAGTACATTAAATCGAATTAATTTCATTAGATTGATCAAATGCGTAAAGCAAGAATTTCACACTGCAGCCCAATGTAATTATTCAAATATGAAAAATGGGGCAAAAATATAAAATGTCTATTCCAAGGCATGATAGAGAGCAGAAGATAACTTAAAAAGTCATATTACTAAGAATTATTATCAACAGATGAATTCTAGAACCACTGTCATCAGTGGTTGAACTTGGTACTTTGTTATTTGATTAGATCAGGAAACAGTTTTATCAATTCCGTCCTGTAAAAACTGACATCAAGTACACATTTTAGGTTTAGGTTCTGATTCTCCAATGAAACCCTCAAAATCCTGTTGGATCTATTAATCATTCCACTCATGAGTGTACTCTGTGAAATACATTTTCCACTCTGTTTTTCTCAGTTTCCAGATACATCTAGTACATTAAATAATGTGGCACCTATCTAATATAAGCTTTATTCCTGCTCTCATGTATTTTGATTTCCAGCTATATCAACAAAGTACATATTTTTTTACTGGACCTCATTTTATCCTCATATCAAGAAGAATTTGTTAACAGAAGATGTAAAATAAATTCCTTCTATTCATACTGGATATGTAACCCTTTATCTTCTTCACAATTACCAGATTACCTGTCTCAAGAGCCCAGCAACATTAGGTAAATGGACTACTGTGGTTAATTTCTAATTAAACATAGGTTAATTTCTAATTTGTTTTCCAAAAATTTTCCTTTCCTTAAATGGGAGAGCATGTTTCCAGAACTTTGACTGGGAGCATCACAAAGCTTCAACTGCTCCAGGTGGCTCCAGGAGGGCAGAGTAGGTATCTACACTGTACCTGCGTGTATGGAGAACACACCCAACCCTCTAGACCATCCAGAAGGCAGGAAAGAAGTTGGCACCAGCTGTCATGCCAGAGCTTGAGGGAGAGTCTGCCCAGCCCCACAAGCCTGTGATGGGGGAGGTTCCCCAGACCCACAGGGAGTGGCAGAGCTGCAGGCAGGCTGCCCATACATGCAGGGGGGGCTCTTTAGTCACTCTCTAATGAATCAAACTGAAGAGATCTGCTTCAGATCCACCATTTCTGCCTCAAACCTCGGCTGGCCAGGCTGAAAAGAAAGTTCTCTGCAATGGTGTTTATTGAAAAAATACTATTTTCAATTATGCCCTAGAAACAGAATTTCCATGTTCTACAAATACGTCACACTACTTGCAAGAAATATACATTCACATGGCAGAGACAAGTAGCCTTGCTGACTGCTTTAAATTCAAGAACCAAAAATACTGAGCTGTTGATTGACATGAACTCTCCTCATAAGCACTTTTTAGAAAAGTTTCCAAGCTACTTTCCATAACAGATGAAAATAAAACCACATTAAACAGCCATTTTCATTCTCTTGAATAGGCAACAGTCCAGGAAACACTGCCAATGTAATTCTCTTCCCCTTTTCTCCTTACGCGGCTGTGCTTTCTCTCTGTATTAATGGTGACTTGATCCTGACTTTACTACCCATTCGCTTTTTGGTTGTTTTTTATTGTTGGTTTTTTGTAGGTTTTTGAAAAAATATTTAGCTTCTTGATCCATCTCTCTAGTTTTCTCCATAGAGACACTTCTAGACACGACCTCAGATGAACCTTGTCCCAACTTCCTGCTTTACACCAGAGGCCTTGCACCCACTCATCCATCACCTTCCTCAGAATTACATGCTCAGTTAGGAACAGACTGTTCCTGGCCGAGTGGGTTGTAAGGAAAACCTCTTTCTGCTGTGCATTTAGCTGATATAATTCTGTATCCCTCAGTCTATGCACACAGCTTCACTGTCTGGGAGAAACAACCATTTTGTGCATCATCCTGGAAGAACAGGCCATGGCCAGGAGCACCGCAACAGCCTCAGAGTCATTTTGGTGCCTCTAGCTTTCCTTCCTCTAGCATTTTTTCCAGCTCCTCCAAAACTTCCCTCAACAGGTCCTCACTTGAGCTGCAGGTAACAACTCAGCCATTCTCTGTTCTCTTAGTGCCTTCCAACCCCAGTCCAGCTGCATTTGTCTACTGAAGCACTCCCTGGGTAAGAAGTACAGCCCTTGCAAAGGCTATTTAACTGCTCCTGAGCCTTCTGGTTAGAGCCTCCCACCAACACTGCTCAGCTGTAAACTGGGAATCAGGCAGATTTCTGTGCTAGGCAAGCAGAACAACACAGTCAAAACAGCAATCAATTACAGAGCACGCATTGAGCATCAACTGATTACAGAGGAATAAATTTAGATGAGTTCATTTCGAAGCTGGATAAACACTGATATGTCTCGTATGTTTTAAAAGAGCATAGCAATAACTGAGTTTGTGGTTCAGGTAGCAGAAGCTCAAGATAGTTATGCTTAAGCAGAAGCTATGTCAGATCTAGGGGATTTTAGCTTCTGCCTGGAGCAGTTGGAATACTTCAGCCTGGTGAAGACATTCACTGCTTGGGCTAGATAAGGAGTTAAAGCTCACTTCAGTCTTAGGCTGAACAGTCCTCCCTATCTAGCTGTTGTACTTATCTGTTGATGGATTAGTACAAATGTCTACATTGGGCCTTCCTAATGAGTACTTTCTTGATAAAGCAGCAGCTTAAGATATTCTCTTGATGGCAATTCAATTTCACAAACAGGACTTCTCACAACTAATTCCCAGCCCTGGTGCTGATTTCATAGCTCCCTATTTTCTGACAAAGATTTAGAGAATTAGCAAAACTACATACAGACACTGAGGTAGTAATATGACTTTTTGGGATTATGGAACATAAACAGAAAGTGCCTCAAACAAAAAGGCTAACCTTATACTACTTATAAAAATATAAGGAAATGTTATAATTTCATGGATATTTGTAACAAATCTCCTTAGTTCTATTGTCTTGCTAAAACTGTCACAACATCTTTTAACAGAATTTGATCTTTTTTCTTCTATTTTGTATAGTCTGTCAAAGACTTATTGCGTGCAGGGCCTTAGTCTGTCACTTGCACTTACATAAAGGAGGAGGAGGGACATGTACCATGTAAACAAGCTCAGACCCACATTTATGGAACACATTTGTATTGGGCCTGACCACTTCTAAGAAACTCAGCTGAAAGTGGGTAGCATGGACACCTCCAAAAAGTGCAAGGAACATTTTTATAAGCTTATTACACAATCAAGTTACACAGCTTCCCATCCTTAGAGCTATCCCTTGATTTTTAAATCCACTCACTGTTGTAGCCACGGCAGCTGCCAGTCTCTGCCGGCGTCGTGTTGTGCTGAACTGGCCCTTCGGTGCCGGCCCTTCCTGACAGTGAATGCAAGAAAAGAAGGAAGTAGAAAAAGAGAAGGGAAGGGATTGAGGGGACACAGGAAGATGAAAGGTGATCAGAAAAGGGAGAGGGAGAGTCTTTAAGTGGGTTTCCATTTTGTTAAGTCTTATGGCCTACACATGTTGAGGACATATCGTGTTTTCAGCTGTGCATGCCAGAGACATAAAAAGCTGGATACTTCACTAAAATTATCTCCAGATGAGTTGGACTGCAGTGTACTCACTAAGGCTACCAAAAAAAAAATCAACTAGCATTGCCATTCAGAGTTATAAGGCAATAATGGAATAAGAGAACAAAAAGGATGCTACAGCATGCCAGAAAATAAAACAAAAATCAAACTCCTTCTGGAGCCACTTGACCATTTAGAAGGTGAATTCTGAGAGAGGTCACTTTGCAATAGTGGAAGTGCATAAACTCTGGTCACTGAAGATGCATGTGGCTCAATGGTAAAATTTTTCAGTGTGTATGTTATCTAGTGAGTTTTCTTAAGTAAACATTCCTGTACATAGCTCTGGCATTTCCACATCCATCCTTCATCCATCCTTTTCTCCATAAATCACTTTTTAAAGTTCCACCTGCTTTTCACATACATTATTGAAGCCTTGACTTCCAAACCAAGGCAAAAACTCAGATAAAGGAGCACAAATAAAAACTAAGTATTTCAACAACTGCTTCCTTTTCTGCATGTCTAACTTGTGGCCTCATCCTTCTTAATTTTACCTTTATTTTACTTGCAAGAAAATTTTTCACAGTACATTAAAGTCAAGCAAGTGACTGTCTAATGCAGAGGAGCTCCACATCTGTCATAAAGTAATTCTATTTAATCTTTAATCAAAATGCCATTATTTTGAAGCCATTTTAAGATTTTGGAAGACTAGGAAATACACCTTTCTGCCTTTAGAAAACAATTCTCAATTCCTTTACATTTTTCTTCCCCTGTATCCTCTAATCACTACATCATTTTTAGATCTATGCACATTTTTACTTTTTCTGCAAGAAGCCTGATGGTCATACAAATAACAACGTGTAGATTGGATACATGGACACCATGCTGAAGAACAGGATATTGTATTTCAATTATTAGCTGAACTGTCTTGCTTCTATGACATTCCCAGCAGGGTTGCTACAGTGGATAATGGCCAAGCACTTCACCCTCTGGCTGATATTAGTGGCCATGCCACTGACATTTGGAAGGGTTTTCTAATGATCACAGTAAAAGACTTGTGGTGCAATATTCTATACAATTCTCACATTAAAATGACATGTGAATAACCTCTAAAATACTGAGAACAAACTCTGTTAAAGCAGAGAACAGATCATTTGCATGATGTAAAGCTCTTTGTGCTCCCCAAAAATATTTCCATCCTGTGAATAAGAGTATGGAAGAATATTCTTATTTAAATAGTAGGGACAGACCTATGTACAGAGAGATGCAAAAATTTATATGTATATAAGATTATTAATGAAGGTATGCATTATTAAAATGGGAATAGTGAGTTTTGCAGAACCATACACTCTCCTCAACACAATAGAAAGTGAGGTCATAATCTGAGTTGCCATAAAAAGCAATACTTACTTAAGGGAAAAAGTAATAACTAGTCTGGGTCTGGTTTCAGTTCTGACCTGAAAGCCTCAGTAAAGCAAGATGATTTTTCAGATTACTCCATAACACACAGCTCTCTATTAAACTATTCCCCCTGCGAAGTCTTGAACTTTAGAACTTTGAGCTCTTGTGGGAAACCAAAATATCACTGGTTCTTTATTATTTTGCAGTAATGTCTTTTTTTTCTTCCTTTGAAGCTGTCATGAGAATGATAACTTAGCCCTTTACTCAAAGGGAAATTATTATCAATTTTTAAAAAACCACAAAAAAGCACAAAAAACCCCCAAAACAAAACCCATGGCTCAGTTCTTGCACAAAAGTATAATTTGTCAAATGAATTAATACAGATCAACAAACCTGTTGTTGCAGGCCATTTTCACAAAATTTTAAATAAGCTTTTTAAAAACAAAATGAACTTCCTTCATAAAAGTAATCTTTCTTAAGAGAAGCAGTGAATGTATTACTCTTGAGTAAAGTCCTGTAAATTCAGCTGTTAATTTTAAACAACTTAACAATAGTAAACACCCAAACCTGCAAATGTATAGACACATGCTATGCTTAGTTTTACTTCAGGGAGTAACCCCACTCAAGTTACAGGGATCGGCTGTATGGGCAAAGTCAACTGCACACAAAACTGGCATATTTCAGTGGTAAATATTAATTTAAATAAATAATTTAGGAAAAAAATCAACCAGCTTTACTTACAAGAAAAGGTATGTTTTAAATACATCACGCACCTAGCATTCATACTGCAAGAATGTGTTAGCAGGAATCCAATAAAAGCTATCTCATTAACAAAAGAATGTTCACAAGCACAATACAAAGCCTGGATGGGAGAATTCCCTCCTTGCCTCATATGCAGAGGATACTGACCCAGCAGAAATCACACCCTCATTCCCCATCACTAACAAAGCACACACCTTTATATAAAGCTCCCTAATTTTATGTTCCTCAAAAGGATGCTCTCAACTTTGTACTATCAGAATGTCTTTGATGTAGTTAAAAACTGCTCAATCTTAAAAAAATAGGTTCAAGTGCTCCAAATGGAATTAACAGTGAAACTAGCTTAAAGTTAGTTTGTTAAAATTAGCATTATTCCCTAAAACTAACAAGATGTATGGAGGTATTAGGAAAGTAATAGTACAACAGAAATCTTACTAGTACCAAATGTCAACCATTCAATAGCAAATCATGTGTGAGCAACATGAAAACAATGATCACAAATCAGACAAAATGATTCTCAGCAGGGGATATCCTGATAAACAGTTCAGAAAGACTTGAAGCAGTCTTGAAAACATGAGAAATAAGGAAGACCAAGAAGTAGGAGTGTCTAACAGAAGAGCAAAATGGGAATTAGCTTAAGGGGCTTGTAGGCATCAGAGGACATCCACATTTTAGTGGCAGCCTAAGCCAATTAGGAATAACACAATGAGCCTGTGAGGCTATCTTCCTACAGACCACAGATCTAGCACTCAGGAGACAGGACAGCCCTTGGAAGAATTAACTGAGACTATCAAACTAGGCAAGATAATGGAGTAGCCCTCAAGGATTCTTTGTCTTCCATACAATTCAGAACAATTTTATTGTTTCTGTTTCACTGCAAATTAATTTATAGATCAGACAACAATAACTTAATACTGTGCCATAACGAAATAAACTTTATATTTGCAGTATGAACCTTGGCAGGAATTAATGCTGACCCGAGTAAGGCAGAGTTCATTATCAATCCAGAAGTGACAGACCCACGTAGAGCAGTGTCATGCACACAAACTCTCTCAAGGGAACCCTATTTGAAATTTTCAGGAGCTAAGGCAGACCCCTGCCAAACCACAAACAGCAGTTTCATGGAAACCCAGGCCAGTGCTACTTTGGCAAAGTGTAGGTAACATGGGAACAGCTCATTATTCACTATGACCAACCATAAATCATAATACACTGACTGCTTTCATCACTTTTGTGGAGAGGACTTCTCTGAGGTTACTGTGGCATGAAAGAAGAGCATATGCAGTGGTGACTGACTCTTCACAGGCATGAAGTACTTGCATGCATTTTACTGATATTTTAATTTCCCTGTGTTATTCAGCACCAGGGAAAAACTGTGATCCTTCAACTGCATGACATGACATCAATCACAAAAATTCCTTTGTTAATAAACTATTTTAATCCCAACAGATGCCTCATTGTGATTATCAAAGTATAATAGGTAAAAAGAAAAATAAACTACAAGAGCTGCAATGAGAAAGCTGATGCAACTATCAACTCTTCCTTCCTTAAGATTATTGATCTTAAATGAAAACCCCTTAATGTGCCTACTGGGGACATATTAAAAGCTTTCAAAGTTTGTACTAATTTCAAGATATTTGAATGGATTACATTTATTTACTCAGTAGCAGACATCACAGTGGTGATTGTTGGCTCCCAAAGCCAGTTGAATAGTCCTCATTATCAGTTGCTTAATTATAAAAAAGATCAGGTTTTGGATCAAACCTCAGAATACACAAGTGCTTCCAACAAAACACAAGGCAGTAATACATGCACATTATGCTTATTTATTTCTGTGCTTTCAGTTCTAGGGAAGGATGGAGTAAATTCTTCTTTCACATAATTTATTTCTTGGTTATTTTATTTGTTCCCATATGAGCCTTCTCCATTACAGAAGGCTTGTGAAAGTACTTATAACTGGTAATATTCCAAGTATAGGTCTTGACAAAGACTACTGGTGTGTTCGGTATTTCATTCTGCTTTTAACTTGATGTCACTTGTTCACTTGAAGGCAGTTGCCCTTCTTTGCAACTTTGATTTGGAATAGCAATATCCCCATATGATGTGTGTATATTGAGTTTTGAATACCTTAATTGACTAATATTCAGATCCCCCTCCTTTCCCTAGATGGCAATGTTTTCATATGAATGAAAATAAAATCAGTACTTTTCTCACTATCTTCTCTAGGTTTTGAACAACAAAATGAGATTTAATTTACTTCATCAGAAACATGGAAGACAGCACACTGACTTCCTACTTTCAGCTAATACATAATTTCATGCTTAGAATTTAATCTTAAAGTACAGTGAAAAGTAAAACATTGTGCATTCAGTACCTGAAGTTGAATTTTTGCATCTTTGCTGACACTTTTTGTTCTCCATCGTCTCGTGACCCGCTTGTCTTTCTTTGAAATATCTACACAGTTAGCCTACATTACACAAATAGTTAAAAGCAACAAAGTGCTATTAAGTTGACACAAGCAACACAGACAATACAGCAAGTTAGTAAAGAATTGTAGCATTAGACAGGTACAAATTTGAAAGTAAGGAGAAGAATGCTGCTGCTAGGCCCGAAATTGGAGCAGGGATCAGCTGTAGCTATCTGTACACTTTCATAAACACATGGTACAGTTAGCTCCTTTAGCAAAACTACTGGTGCCCTTTATTTTCATGGCTACATAATATTTAGGACATGATCTCGAAATCCTCATGGATTTCTGTTGTGGTACTACTCAGGTCATTTGTACAGACAAGAAGATTCAGTGAAAATGGAAGAAAGTATTTAAGATTTAGGATCTGCTGTTGCTTTCTGGTAAAAGGAAAACTCACCCTGAACTGGGAAACAGTCCAAAACTTGGGACCTTTGTACTATGCCCCCTTTTCTAGAGCATGCAACTTCATCTTTGAGGGTCTTTGGGTCTCCAATCCTTAAAAAACTTAAAATGTTATCTCAACACAACAAAAACTCCTTAAATACAACTTCAATTTATAAATGTGTTCTATTGCAACAGTCCTCAGTTTTGTTTTGCAAATTGCTTATCATTTGATTTGCCCTATTTAACTCAAATACTGAATACATCTTAATTACTTGTTTACACATGAAACAGAAACAGTACTACACAAGATTACAACAGACGTATAAGATAAGCATTTCATCCAAGATTCACTATTACTTCAGAAAAACATTCTGAGTTAACAGGCAACATCTCTATATTTCCCTTAACAGAAAGAACAAATATTTCAGTGTAATGATTTATGTTCAGTCATATTTACCTGCATGTCTGTGAAATTTGGTGCTGACTGAGTCCTCTGTAGTATTTCTAAATTTTGAAGAAGTTTACTGAGCTCCACAAGGTTAGACTGACAATGAGCAAGATCTAAGAGATACAAAATAAAAATACATTACGTGCTTCAATTAAGACTTTTTATTGCCGTGGTGTCCATTGTTTGCACTTAATTGCATTATAAATTTTAAGTGTCCAAACCCCTTGTGGTAAGGTATCCAAGTAAAAGTTTTATTTTGTTAGACACTTGTTATTTCTATAGGAGTCAGCAACGGCTCTGGACCTCAAGAAGTAATCACATTTGAACAATGACATCCATCAAAATAGCACAGATTATTAGGATAAATTTTAAAAGCAACATCCCAAAACATATAGAGAGCAAAGTTCCCACCATGAGGTAAAAGTTTCCAATTACCTGAAGAGCTACTACATGTTCATATAAAGATGTAATTTAACCACTTTACTTACAGGACTCTTTCTTATATCAACAAGAGGTTTTGCTGAAAGAACAAGGCTTGAAAAGATAAAGTCTAACCTTCTGCACATCTGTCCATCTCTTCAGAGTCCTGCAACCAGGCTGCTACTTTACTCTGACCAGTAGTGCAGGTGACAGGAAGGCTGTTACTGCAAGGTATAGGAGGCTGCCAGGGGAAGTTATTTTGTTGCACCTAAAGCATAATAAAATGCTTACATTTACTGAGGCTGTGTTGCCTTGTCAGTGTAATGACCATATTACTTCAGCATAGAAACCAAATTATGCATTGCGTTTTCAGTGAAATCTGCAATTTGTCTCCATAGTTCCCAAAGACACAGATTTTTCAGAATAGCATCTAGGAGAATCAAACCAGGAGCCTCACAAGTGGACTGTGCTAGGTACCAGTTAGGAGAGCTGTTGTTTAAGAGGAAGAACATAATCAGCAGCGAGACAGATTTATACCTGATGTCAAAGGCTAATGCAAATTGTATGGGTGGTGAATACTTTGCAAGATCTCTTCAGCAGCCTACTCTAATGAAGTAAGGCTAAATTAGAGAGTATTTCAGCTGATTTCAGCTGCACACCCTCACAGCTTTTCTCTGGCCATTGGTTCCCACAGTGGAAGCTCCTGTCCTTTTGGCATTAGAAGAAAAGCCCACTGAAACTACCCAAAAGCCAGCCAGGAGTTTTCAAACAAAGAACACTGCACACCTTTCCATCTGACACATTGGCAGCTGGTGAAGACTCTGTAGTAGATGCTGAGGGGAATATGTGGAAGCTGGCATCCCTGGGAGACCTCACAATCTCATTCTGACGGTACAACCGGTGGTGCCGCAACTTTGAAACCCATGCATCAAACGAATCCTGTGATTTCACCTGGAGAAAAATTTACCATCAAGAAAGCATCCAAGATACTGCTTTTCTGCACAATCCTTTACAATTTTATTTGTTTCTGTTGAGGATGAAAAAACATTATGTAGTTTTACTTTTTACCTTTAGGTGATAGATATGTTCTTCTGTGTCAAGATCTATCCTACGAGCCTTTTTTTTTATAGACATGACTGATAAACCAACATCAATGCTCCCATGGACCTTTCCTTTCTGTATCTACAATAAAAATATCAGGGCAAAAATTTAGAAGTATCACACACTTTTTCTATATATTTAACAGAAAACTATCTAGTACTGAAATGGTTTCCCGTTTTATAACATTTTAGCACAAAGCCATTTTAAAAAATAAAGCTGCACTCAGACTAACCATTTAACCACTTATTATATTTATAGTCAGAGAAAAGTATCTCATAAGAAATGCTGGTACAAAGCCAACTCCAAAGTTTGGGTGTGTTAAGTTGTTCACACCAGTGCACAGGCACAGGTAAGTGAGGAGAAGAGAAAATTAGACAGTACTTGACACCCTACTGCTACGACCTGGTAGTTATTGGCATCAAATATAAATAATTGGTATTAATTCTTTATCCTATCCACATGTCTCAGAATAATCAGCTCTGGCTGACATAAAAATTAGAAAAGAAAAATACATGGCCAGGTTAATCTCTCAAGCTGCTATATTCAAGAAACTACCCTTATTAATTTTACTTATATTTCCACAGAAGTAAAAAAAGGTAGAATTCTTGGAAGAGATAACCACAATGATTTATCTTTAAATCCATCAGCAACATTATTTATCTTTAAATCCATCAACAACTTTCATGTGTATACTTTCATAAATATGCCTAGAGTGAGTATGAGCAGGTAGAACTTCATTAGAAGTTTTAAAGTCTTCAGCTCTACTTACATCAATTGGTGACTTTGAATATTTCAACATTCCATTATCCAGGACAAAAAATCTCTGAAATTATAAGAAAAAAATCCAACAACATTCTTTCTTAATGAGCAGATGCAATTTAAACTGTGTACAACAATTCATCTGGAGAAGGATTACGCTGTAAAAATTAAGGAATTTTTGGGGGTTGAAAGGAGAGGATAAACACAGTATTAAATAAATTTCTTGCTTGTTTTTTGACAAAAATTATCTCTTAAACAAAAAAAGAACCTAGATTCTCTTTTTTCAACATTATGTTCTAGGCTTATCTTAACAAACTTTGATAACAAAGGTGGGTTTTTTTCAGTTTTCCAGGCAATGTAATAAACTTTCCAAGAGACTGTAGGACAAGAGACTTGTATCTGTTTCTTTATTTTGTTCCTGTTTTTTTTCCCACAAAAGCTGATCACATTTCAAATTAGCAACCTACCTTCCCTACCCAGAAACTGAGAAGTTTTTCCTAGTGCAAGATCTACATCTCAAAAGGAAGCCCATATGAGACACCCTGGTCTACCATGCCAAACCTTGTGCCTTCCGGCAGACCTGTACTCAGTGAAGTACAGATGAGATTGCAACTCCTGCTGAAGACAGCTTGTCTAGTGTTAATCCAGGTATTTGTACCAAAACAAATATTGCAGCATTCCCAGGAACATCCCCAGGTGATGGGAGGGCTGATGTCACAGGTGTTGGTGATACAGGGTGAGCCACTGCACCTTCACTGACATGGGTACCAGGACTGGCCTAACCTGATGATGCCTGTGCTATTGCTGCACCTTTATTGCTCTGAGCAGAATCCCCTATTCAAGCTGTATTTCTCCCTCAATTAAAGCTGCCCTAGCTTGTCTGTACCAGATCACTCAAGCTGCTTTGCAGCAAGTTAATGCAGACTTTGGCACACAGCGTAAAGCCTAGCAGAAAATGGGACTTGAAATGACATTTGCTAACTCATGTTTATCATCATTAACTTTAAAAACATGCAAAGTAATAGCAAATAACTCATATTTTTAGAGTGTAACCTAAAGCATTAATCTATGTTAAAATCCCAGAACACAGCAAAATACTCTGCTTGATTCTCAAAGCTGTCATGACATGGGAAGGAAGGGCAATGGTTTCTTCAGGTAAACCTGCTAATTTAACACTATGAGCAGGGTCAGTAGTTGGACAGCAGAAAATCCCCCTCAAAGATGGTTCTAGAAATTCCACCAGTCACACAACAGATGGTAGCAATATCTCACACAGGGCAGGAAAACAGTGCTTTTCCCTACCCCAGCTGAAACCAGCACATTTGGAGATATAACTTCTTGAATAAGATGTCAAAACAACAGGACCATTTTGGGGTTTTTTTTCCATAGGTATGGTCACTAACAACCTTCACAAGAACATGATATTCATGTCATATTGCTCTGTCGCTCTAAGCTGCATACACAAAAGAAAATTACCTTTCATCATAATTTCATTCCAACGCACACTGCACTTCAGAGGATGATAAATTCACCAAGCTGTGCACATTGTACCTGGTATGCCACCAAAGCACATTCAGGACTGTCAGAATATGACATGCAGTGTTCAACAGATATTGTATATGGCTTTGCTAGTAGAACACTAACACAGCACATGCTGCAATTATTGTCTCTGAAGTTCCTCACTGACTCTCAGCAAAAAGTATTATTACAGAAACTCCAAGATACCCAGGCGGCATTGCAAAACAAATAAACTTATTAACAAACCCAAAGTTTCAAAACTTAAGTTCAGCATAGCTCCCAAGGTTAAATGTAAGGCAGAGTAGAGGAGGATGTTAAAATGTGAAGTTCTTAATCACATTAAAAATTATCAACACAGGTAACTGCTGTAAATTCATCTAGATCATCAGCAGTGATTGCCTTTACAGAACTGTGAAAGTTGGACTTCTTTTGCTCTCCTATAAATTAGTTCCTTACCAAAATAGACACTTTGCCAAATAGTAACACATTAATATAATGTATTTTAAAAGTGTGGGAACAGTGGTTTATTCCATAAATTCTTATATACCTCATTAATTGATTTTTTGGAGGGTCAGATCAATTTTATTCACAACTTCCCTCTGGATTTTAAATACAACCTTAGGCAGCGGGGACTGTGATTTGAGAGCTATGAACTGTGTCTGCAAACTAATTCCATACACAGGTGGAAGAAAAAGTCATACACCAAAATCATGGGTATTTATTTGACATCCTAATTTTGTCTAGACAAAAAAATCCCGCTAATAAAATAAGGTAATAATGTTCTGACTGGTTTATGGGACATTTACCTTGTGCCAACCTTTTAATGGCCATTTTCTCTTCTTCAGCATGAAACCCTCATGTTTGTCTGGCTTCTGCACATTGGTCTGGCCTATTTTCAGACCCTCTATGATTTCCCAGCTGTCAGGCTCCTGATGAAAAAGCATGAAGACACATTAATTAATTTTGCACATACATGGCAAAAAATTGCACTTAAGAGTGGCACAAATTCTTCAATGCAAGACAAAGAGGAGGAACCAGGCTTTTAAACCAACCTATTTAGGTACCAAACTACATGGTCACTATATTATGTCTAGATGTATCTCATTTAAAACTATTAAATACAAACATTTTCTGATGTCTAACCCTTACCAGGTAAGATGCATAGTAAGAGTGCCCTTTGTGATTTCTTAATTATAGAGAAATATAAATTTTCTTTAAAGTACAAGCTACATTGGTTCTGGATGGCCCAGTTTTTCCTCCAAATCAGAAAAACTAGCAGAAGATGTTGCTTCATCGTTGATTTTGAGTGTAGCTAGCGATAATCTTCAAAGGCATTTTATGGCAGTTTCACTTGCTAATTGAGCCTTCAGAAATCTGCAAAAAGATTTTTTTCCCTGCATTCATTTTCACTGTATTATGAGAAATTTATAGGAAAGCTAACTAATTTTCTCTCTAGAGAAAAACAGAGGAACACTATCATTTGAGATACAACCAGTTGTATGCCTTTCATGGAGCCAATTAAAGCATATTTCTGGTACATACCACTTGTTTTGCATGGTGACTCAAGCCAGATTTACAATGTAACACAGTGAACAGGTAAAGAACAATATTTTTAAAGAAAAAAAGATGGAGTCATATTTTCTCTTAGAATGTATTTCTATCCTCTTGCTACTACTGTAATTAAAAAAATTCTACGCCAGTTTAAAAATCTCTTACTGCCAGATTCCTCAGACTAGGTTTTACTAATTATACCTTACAAAACTGTAAACTTGCATTTTCCCAGTTGATCTGTCATAACTCCTAGCAATGTTATGAAAAGTTAACAAGAGAGGAAGGAGGTCATATAGCATCAAACATTTAAAGGGAAAAAAAAATTGTCTCCACATTTCCAATGAAACTGTTCAGAGCCAAGTGCTGTCAGTCTTTCACAACATCTCCAAACAAATTACACAGCCCTGATAACATCAACATTACTGTAACAAAAATATAGTTGCAAAAGTAACAGCAAATTTCAAAACTATAATTTTGAATAAAGTCTTGGTATTTTGAGAAGGGTGAAAAGCTCTATCCCAAATAATAAACACTGCCGTAAATTTTAATAGAAATCTTCATTCAGCTTAGTTTCCCCTGAATAACCATGAACTAATTATCTCATTGTCTGTAAATCCCCTACTCAAAATGCAGCTTTGTTTTACTTCAGTGTTCTCTTTCCATTCTCTAGAGGAAGCACATATGTATTACTTTTTCCCTACATGGAAGTACTTGGCACTTGAGGGGAACAAATTAAACTCTAAGTTATACACCAGCAGAGAGTCTCTGCATCTCTGCCAACTGATTTTTCACCATATTGATTTCTCCTTTAGATGATCAACTGCAGGCATAAGCCTTTTATCTACTAGATAACATCAGTATTGATTAATTCTCAACTAGAAATCACACAATCTCATATAGCTATTCATTTAAACAAAAGACCAGATACAGAGGGATAAAATGAGCAATTATTCAGTGCAGTGAGGATACTTGTCTCCTGCTGCATCAGTGCTACAAGCTGCTCTTAAAACCCTCCTAACAATCCTACCTGTGCCTCATCCCACAGTTTTGGTGTGTTGAGATATGCCCAATACAAAGGCCATTATGGAGGAGAGACAAAAATGGGGAAAAAACAGAGTGAAAGTGATACACCTGAAGAGTCCTCATCCAAGGCCAGTTCTCAAGCAAAGCAGCAGTATTTTAGGACTTCAGTGATTCCAAAGGTATTCCATGAGAAACAGCCCTGTGCAAAGCACCACAACTGGGAGAGCACAATCACAGCTTTCAGTGCCTGCCTCTGCACATGCCTCTTGTTTGGGGATTAAAGGAGCCACCACCAACTGCTTTCTCAAGTTTTGACTGCAAAATATTTATTTTCCAAATAAAAATTAATAAATTATTTCATTTTCCCTGGATGAACAGAATACTTCCTTTTGAAATTGTTTTACCAGGTCTGTTTCAAAAATTACAGATATTTAGTCTCAGATTTTTATTTTCCACCAAATATTCCATCACAGCACCCTCACCTTTTCAGAAACAATCTTACTCTTGCATCTGAAGTATCTTAAAATGAAGCTTTCCTTACATGGAATTAGACTTGTTTGGAATCACTTATTCCAAAACTGAGCAATTTACCCAGAAAGAAGTTGGCTTCAAAACAACACACACAAGGCTTCACTTTTTACGAGGGTGATGTCACCCCTGCAGTTGCATCCTTTACTCTGCCTCAGGAAAGAAAATCTCAGCAAGAGCTTTTAAATTTCAAACTACACACAAGGGATGTTATTAGGACATATTTTTTAAACTAATATTTATTGGCAGCATTTTTAGATTTGGATATTATTTGTTCTACCATAGTAAGAGGATTGAACTGGAAAACTTCTCAAAGTCATAGAATCATATCATATCCTGACTTGGAGGGGTCCCACAAGGATCACCAAGGTCCCTTCTAGCCCCATTTTCTGAGAAAGTAGAATTTGCTCATGGGGCCATCCATGTAAAAAAAAACAACCAGAAAAACAAACCAATCCTTAATTTTGTTAATATAACATCTACTGAAGATTACATGCTCTTCTTACACCTCATTTATAGAACAATAAGCTCCAGGGCAGACTCCCAATGTACTCAAATGGTAGTAGCATACAAAACACTGGACACAAAACACCTGAAGTGTTAGTCAAACTACTTTGTAACTCTAGAGGGAAACTCACTGCCCAGACTCCATCCCAGGCTTTTGCTTACCTTGGATAGAGAGAGATGATCACTTTCAAGGAACTGCTTGCTTAAAGAAGGGTCTGTGCTTCCTGAAGAAGCCTTTCGCTCCAAAATATGAACACTCTAAAAAAATAATTAAAGACAACATCAAAACATACAAAATAACCACCTATCCATGATTTACATGCACAAATGGCTTGCCTGCAGAGGCAATATCCTTCTCTTTCTTTATTACTGGATTTTTAATTAATTATTCTGTTTAACCTAGAAATGATGGTGAACTAAAAAAAGCCAGGAAAGATGAGTAATGTAGTTCTTACCTCTACAGAGATTCAAAGTGCTCCTAACCAGACCTATCATGTTTTCTGTTAATATACAAGACACTGAGTGCACATACTCTGCAGTCAGCACTGCCCTACATTCACTACACATAAGATATTACTGCCTCTAAAATATTCATTATCACACCTCAGCATTTTGTTATTGGCTTCTCAGCTGAGAAAAAGTAACACACTACACAAATGCTTTTGAACAGATTACAGGTATTAACAAGATCAGTTACTGTGTCTCAGTTGATGGCCTTGCTGCTGAACATTCATGGAACACTGGGATCTTAAACCACTGCAGCTGCTTTTACATATGACAGTCCTATAAAATTTTATATCTTCAAAGCATTGTAATAAAAATGAAATACACAATGTCACAACTAGTCCTGAAAAGACTGCTATTCTTAAAACACACCTAAACATGTCTTTCCATTTTCCAAAAACCCCTACTTTATAAAAGAAAAAAGAGAAAAATGTGGTAAAAGAGAAAATTACCACAATCCACAGGCATGGATCTGCATTTCATTCTCTAGTGAAATTTTGCTACATCTCATCCTACTATCTGGTAAGATTTCTACCACAACATGTCATTAGTATCTCTTTGGCATAAAATAAAACTACTTCATTTCTAGGACAAACAGCACAATGACAAACTTGCAATTACCCTCTGAGAAGCATATGTTTTTCTCAGCTGAAAATGCCAATTAAGTTTTGTTCACAATTAAGCTTCTTTACATTGACTGCAGAGGAGATTACCCAGGTACCAGCAGCAGCAGAAACAATCAGGAAATATAAAGGTACATACAAATTGCAGTGTAAATATTATTGTTTATTTAAATTATTAAGTACAGAAAGGACCATAACCAAACTAAATTAAACACAGCTATTCATTTAAATGCATATATATAACACAGACCCAATCTTGCTGCAGAGCAACACCCAGACCTTCATTGTTCTCTTTCAAGTTGCAACTGTGAATGAGAATATGAAAACATGGGGAGTGTCTCTGTTTTCAGTGGAGATTAATAAGCATCCCTACCACTATGCAACAATAATCAGCATTTATTTTCAGTTACTTTTTAAAATTAAATTTTACAGTGAAGATTGTGAAAAAACAGCACTATTAAGTTACTCCAGGGCCAACCAGCAAAAAGCTTTGTCATTTATGTTTTAAAAACTTCTGCTTTATCAAAGGAAGTTCAACCTACTTATTTAGTCCAGTGTATTTTACTAGTCAGATGACATAAAAAGTGTATATATGTAGCACAAGTGTCTATGTTATATATCAAATAATTTAATAAACTAATTTGAGCTGAGAACCACAAAGTTCCTAATAATAATGATAAACTTTCTCACCAAATAAAGGAAATCCTACTTATGTACACAGTATGACATTTTAACAATATACAGAAGAACCTAAATCTGTTCCTCCAAAGAAGATTAAAATGTCTCTTGATTAGCATAATCAGGATGATTCCAACATTCTTGCCAGCTTTGTCTGGCAGGGAGGAATCCATCCATCCTGAGATGGAGCAATGCCCAACACAGATGTTCTGAAGGTCTCATGTTCTCTCAGCTGGTGCAGTTTGTTGTTACATAACTGCTATTTCATTTTGTACAATATTTAGAGAGGAGTAGCCCAACAGCCCTTAGCTTGCCAGATTTCCAGTGACATTTTAAATTACATAATTTTAAGTCAGGAAGGTTTTGTGCCTTTTGTTTTGTTTTTTTAATTAGCCCTCAGTCATTACAGTTCCGCTTCTGTTGAGAAATAAATTATTAGCCAGCAGCACTTTAATGAATGCTGACTTATTTAATTACATGTTTGAAAATTAGAAAATGAACACCTTTTAAGTAAAATTCCCTTTTTTACGTTCCTTTCTTTCAGGAGTGTTGGCTTGTTGTCTACAGATGTTTGCTTTTCAATTCTCCTTACTCATGACTACAATTACACTGATACAAGATCATTTCTTTAGATTTGTGACCTGTCTCTAGCATAATACTAAGAGACCATACTTGGTGTAAAATGTTTTCCATTAAGACATGTTATTTTTCTGCAAAATTACAGCTAGAAATCACACAATTGCTTGACATTTTGAAAAGCAGCTAATTTTACAGTGCAAGAGTTTAGTTATTTAGACTCAAATAAATAAAAATTATTTAAATCTTGACATTATTGTCAAGGGGTTTTTGCATTTTAACATGAAAAACAGAGTTGGGAAAGAAGCAGTAAAAAAAAAGCTGATAAGAAGGAATAAAGGGGCATGTCAACACTGTTTCTGGGGTTTATTTATAATCAAAACAAAAAATGGATAATAGTCCATTAAACTAGGCACATCAACCAACATGGTACTCTTATTCCTCTTCTAAAAATACAGACAGGCAAAATCAACGTCAGCATTGCTGCATTCCAGATTCCCCTCATATTTCAGGATCACCACACTATAGCTGGTTTCCCTTGGAGGAAAACACCAGCACCAGCATATTCTGTGGCTCTTGAAAAACAATTCAACATAATTACAAGTTTAACTCCAATTACTATGTAATTCCATTGCAAAATCTTCATCCTAAGTACAATCCTTCATCTTTATGATTATCCAAACATACATTACATAGGTGGCACACATTTGCCTCAAAATACCCCTAGCAAACCAACTTATGGGGAGCACAAATGCTTGTCCCACCCTGCATTGTTTTTTTTCTTTTTTCCCCAAATGAGGGGGAAAGAAATTGATGGAGAAAACAAAATAGCACTAGGATGTTGCACCATATTCTCATTTTCTCTGGAAGACAAGAATGGAAAACATATTTTACAATATCCTTCCATGTATATTGCCAACTTCTTTTCTCACTTTGGGCTTTAATGACTCATACAGCTCATTATCCTGGTTTTGGCTGGGACAGAGCTCATTTTCTTCCAAGTAGCTGGTATAGCGCTGCATTTTGGATTCAGTACAACGTTGAAGGCACAGTGATGTTTTGGCTGTTGCTGAGTAGCTCTTACCCTCAATCAAGGACTCTGCAGTGTCCCATGCTCTGCCAGTGAGGAGGTGCATGAGGAGCTGGCAGGGGCATGGCCAGGACAGGTGACGTGGACTGGTCCAAGGGATATTCCATACCACAGAACACCAAGGCCAGGGTATAAACTGGGGGAGTTGGATGTGAGAGGGCAATCACTGCTGGGGAGTGGGCTGGGCCTGGGCCTGCAGGTGGTGAGCCATTGTACTGGGCATCACATGCCTTTCTTGGGGTTTATTTCTCTCTTTCTTGTCCTTTCTTTCCCTTACAATCATTATTATATTTTATTTCAATTATTGAATTCTTCCTTTTTCAAATCTCAGGTTTTCCCTTTTCTTTCCTCTGCTTCTCCTCCCCATTCCACCAGTAGGGTTGGTCTCCATCAGACCAGAGGGTGAAGACCCTGATTTAACTTTACTGAATCTGACTTCCCATTAAAACAAAAGACAATCAACTGTTTTCACAGGAAGGGCAAGGAAAGAAAGCCAATTTTGAGTAAGTAGAGACAGAAAAATCCAGTGTATGACAAGTCTGACACTCATGCCTCTCCCTTCTGCTTCACTCTTATTTACTTAATGGAATTAATTATATTTAATGCAAAGATGTCTCTATAATTTGTAATTTATTAATTTCCAAGAAAAATACAAACTGGTGAGGATTTCATCACTTACATTGGACAAAGACTATCTGTAGTTCAGAAATGTGCACAACAGGTGGTTAATTATTTAGTTAATTAATGAAAAAGATCTGATGGATCATTTTGCTTGCTCACAGCATTCTAGCAGTCTCCAACACCCATAACTGTGGGGCCTAGGTATACACTGTCCTACAACAGCAATTCAAAATAGAGCTTTTCTGTCTGACATTTTTGTCTTGTTTTCTTTCAATCCAAAGTACTAACTAGTGCATCTTTTATTATTTGCTAGTCACTGGAATTCTTTTTGCAACCTAACAAAACTGTACTCTTACTTGAATTCCACTTAGTATGAAGTGCAATGTTTAATCACTTTCTCTCAATTAAAACCACACTATTTTCTGTTTATCTGAAACACAGCAAAAGTAGTAAGGTAGACACAGATTTGACTGCATACATGCCAATTTTAGCTACCTTCTAAACAAGCTGTGATATGTGCTGAGTAAATCTGCAATATTATTTGCAAAGGGAATAACCTTGAAACTTGCTTTTCTCTTAGGATGCTTCTTAGCCAGCTCTGGCTTTCCTCCTGCTAATGGAAGAAAGATAGATTCTTCAATATAATTGTGAGAGAAGAGTGAGTGCAAAGCAAAACAACCATATCTCATCAATGTATATCTCCTTTCTATCTTCTAGCACAGTTTTTTAATTTTTGCAAAGCAGTCATGGTTCTATGCTTACCCTCAGTCTCTTCTATTGGCATTGTTCCACAGCCATTTTCAGCAATCTCAGCATCAACTAACTGACAAAGGAACTTAGCAATACTTTGTGAATAGCACATAGAGTTAGCATTTTTTTTCTTCTTGTAAGACATGTTCATCTTGTACAGAAATTTTTCAATTTTCTCTTTGTAACCTTTTTACTGAAAGATAAGTCTATATAAGATGCAGTTCTGTAGCATATGAATAATATCCAGGTATGTATGCCTACTTCTTTCCTGGGATATGCAAAGTAAACCCTTATTGTGTAACAGAAATGTCAAGGATTTGTTAGTCAGGAGCTTTCTGTCAGCCCTTTCCAGCTTTGGATTGTACTTCATGTCAATGCTTTTAGGCTCTAGCAGCAAGGAAGCCTTTGCTTTTCAA